TGGGGGGGGGGGGGAAGTAGGATTTTCACACACACCAATAGCAACACTGCACAAAAGCAAAATGAAAGAGTCCTACAGCATTCAGCAGAGTCCTCAGTTACGACCGGGTCACCAACCACACCCTCACGCCCCACGAGTCGAGGGGTCCCTTGGTTGGGGACAGCCAAGAGCTGAGCAACAAAAATGATTGAAGATCTAGAAAATAAGGCCCAGTTTTAAAAATCCGTGTTTGAAGTACAACGAAGAGGAACAGTCCCTCCACGTGTGCCAGAGGATGTTAATAAAGAGAACGGTATCGGGCCAGTTTTATACGGGCTGATGGAAAGAGAAACCACAGCCTGCTTAATCTGCAGAAAGAAGGATTGGGGTCACGGGTGTCTCTGATGGCTGCTTGCCGCTGGGCTACAGATGACAGAGCTGGATTACGGGGAGGTTTACAGAGCAGAGACGGGGAGAGCCTGGGCTGGGATTAAACCAGCAGCTGCCCTGACTGGGCTTTTTACCTCTGAACCACAGTGGAGGACGGAGCGACCTCTTTGAGGTCCTTTCAGCCCCCCATTTAAATGATTTAGTGAGTATCTGCCAAATCTACTCTTACTAAAACAAACACACTTAAAACATTTATTTTATGTGCTCTCAGTAGGCTTGGGCCATTCTCTAATTGTTAAATTATTAAATGACAAGCAATGTCTAACCTTCCATAAGGGTCACACGTGGAAGAAAATGTTTCCCCCAAAAGCCTGTCAGTTTGAGTATGTGTCAGCACCCGTAGCTTGCTTGGAAAAACTCGATTACTGAACCTCGGTCACACTCCAGAAGGGAAACAACCTTTTGGAATGCTGGGGTTTCAGCCCCCAGCCCCAAGTTAAGGCTGACATAGGGGTGATTCCCCCAGCCCTTCCCAAAGGGAAGGAGTTTCCCTTTAAGCTTCTCCTGGCAGACAGAGCCGTTGGGTAAAGGAGCCCCAGGGGTCCCGCAGTCAGTAACCCAAGGTCAGGGGTCCCACGCAGGGATAACAGCGGGGACCCCTCGCAGGAGGGGCAGGGTCTGTCTGTGAGGGGGACGCCCTGGGCAGAGTTCCCTGTTGGGGAAGGACCTCCCGCCTCCCTGGGACTGGGCTCCACTCAGCTCTGGCTTTTGTAAACCCGGGCTGTGTGAGATTCAGTGTGCGGCTTCCTTGGTCTGATGTGTTTGGATTGCTGACCCTGTTGTCTCCCGTCCCTTCTATGGGAGACTTCGTGTCACCAGTTATCCACCCATTGCTGGTCGTGCGGTGTCATTGTTGGGATCGTTGGGATTGATGTCAATTATGTACAACCTGATTGACTTGTTTGTACCCCCAGCGCTCACCCGTGGACTGACCCTTCCGTGTCAAATCCAATCTGGTTATTGGTTCATCTTGACGCTGGCTGTGCCCTTCGTGCTGGGTCTGATAATTGGCAAAACCCCTTTGGGAGCCCAGCTCTCCAAATGCCATGGTACCTCCTAAACCTGCTTCCCAGCAGAGCAGCCCCCGTATTTCAGAGCGAACCACAACCCCGCGAGCGCACTGCACGGCTCCCAGCCCCCGCGCTTCCTCGCACAGGCACCGCCTCTTCGCTGTCTCTTGTTTAAACGAGCATCTGTCAAGTTGCGATGCGCTCTGAAAAACGAGCAGTCAAACACTATTTCGCAGTATAATTTGGTGCATGTTCAATTACATCAACAGAAATAGGTTTTCATAATAGTCAGGTTTCACCTGATGGAAGCACGTTGCACTCTTTTTAACTCATAGATCTGAAATGATTATTATTATGATGTCTTGGAAAGCATCAACAATGTATTAAGTGCTTTCAAGTGATGCTTAAAAACCCAGGTGCCCCAACCAAGTTGCTTAATCAAGAGCACGGCACGGAGACAGCCCGGGAAGGGACACGAGAACCAGAGTGACAGAGCTACGAAGAACACGCAACCTTCTTTTAATTACCTGCCTTTGATCTTGCTGGCCTTTGTACCATTTAGTTTTTCTTCAGGAAAACTGATTTTCAAGGCCTGTTGGTGGGAATTGGCTGTCTAGAGACAGGCCAATTAAAGAGTTTTCTGTACATTTTTTTCATTCTCAACTGTTCCGTTCCATTATGTTAAAATGATGGGTGATATATTTCTCATTTACTCGGTTATTATCAATTCCTTACCCACATTTGAAGCCAAAATGTATTGTGATAGGAACAGGAATCCAATAAAACTGTTCACAGGCTATTGTGAAATGGGGAGTTGATACTGAAATGAAACTTTGCATAAGAAACGCAGGAAAAGAAGATCAGCATATGAAAAATCTTTAAATAAAGCTGCTTAATTAAATAAAGGGAATATCCTGTACAGTCACTGAGTTGAACACCAGATTGTGTCTGGTCACAGCGTCCCTCAGGACTGTAGAAGATCTTGTCATAGTCATGCAGCACGGTTTGGGTGGGAAGGGACCTCAAAGCCCCTCCAGTGCCACCCCCTGCCCCGGGCAGGGCCACCTTCCACCAGCCCAGGGTGCCCAAAGCCCCGTCCAACCTGGCCTTGAACCCTGCCAGGGAGGGGGCAGCCACAGCTTCTCTGGGCAGCCTGGGCCAGGGCCTCACCCCCCTCACAGGGGACAACTTCCACCTCAGATCTCATCTAAATCTACCGCTCCCCACTTGGCCATTGAGCTGTTGACCACAGCTCTTTGAGTGTGACCATCCAGCCAATTCCTGATCCACCGAGTGCTCCATCCGCCAAACCCACGTCTCTCCAGTTCAGAGACATGCAGGACAGTGACAGATGCTCTGCACAAGTCCAGGCAGATGATGTCAGTGGCTCTTCCCTCATCCCCCAACCCTGTCACCCCATCGGAGAAGCCCACCAAATCTGCCAGGCACGATTTGCCCTCAGTGAAGCCACCTTGGCTGTCACCAACCCTCTCCTTATTGTCCATGTGCCCTGGCACAGTTTCCAGGAGGATCCGCCCCATAATCTCGTCGGGCACAGAGGTGAGATTGTAGTTCCCCTTTTTCCCCTTATTTAAAATGGAATTATTTTCCCCTTTTCCAGTCAGTGGGAACTTCACCAGGCTGCCACGACTACTCAAATCTGATGGGCAGTGCCTGAGCCACTTCATCTGCCAGTTCCCTCGGGGCCCGCGGACGCACCTCATCAGCCCCCACGGACCTGTGCACCTGCAGGCTCCTTGGACAGTCTCAAAGCCATGAAAATTGTCCACTTGGGCCTTGCTTTTATTCTTAAATTAAAAGATTATTTTCCTTCAGTCCCCAGTTGGCTTTTCAGCTTTTAATAGCTCCATTTTTTTGAAGTAAATTGAGCAAACAGAAGTTACAGCAACACTCCCTCTGCACATACAAGGAAAGGTCCTGTTTTCGAGATGGAGTTGATCACATCAAACCTCTGGTAGCAGGTGCCTGGCCAGGGTCTCCTCTGGGAAGTTTCCTCTAGAAGAAAACAAATACCACTTAAATATTCTTATTTTAGTAACTTTTAAAATATTTAAGCCTGAAATTACTATCAGGTGAACTGCAGTTTTGCCTGTGTTTATTGTTAAAACAATGCATATTCTGTTTGATTTTTTTAACGTATAAAAGGAAGTTTGGCATGCCTTGATTTCCCTGAAGGGAAATCCAGGGATCATAAACAAATTGTTGTCCTTGAAATCATCGAGAAGGGTTTTATTTCCCGACCTGAACAGCATGAGGATTTTATCGTTCGAGATAAAGAGAGGTATCCTCCAAGCTCATCTTACATTTTGTGGTGTAGAAGTCGACCCTTGTGTCTGCACAGAAGCCACACGAAGGCTGTGGAATCTTCTGCGCAGGCTCTGCCCCTTCCTCGGTGTTTCTGCAGACGCCAGCATGAGAGAGACCCAAATTCTGAGGGTACTGTAACGAATTCACAAGCCGTGGTTTCCAGACGAACCCGGGATTTCAGAACAATGCTTCTCCTAAGCACACCGCAGCTCAATCCTCTTACTGAAGTCAACAGATACTGATTTTCTCCTAACATTCCAGCTTTGAACTATAATTTTTAATAAGCAGAAGGATATTACAGATGACAAAAACCTTCCATCGCACCTTAATCTGTTGTGTAGGCCCGGATGTTTTTTGTCTCCCTGATATTAGACTTTATGATTGATATTTACTGTTACTTGTGACAGGTCTTTCCTGAAGGTACACGGAAACGAATTAACCTCTAGGAGCCAACTTCTGGGTTGGGTTACTCCCTACAACCCTGCTGACACAAGCAGAGCCTCCCCCAAGCAAAAACAGGGGAGCAGCTGGGTAGTGCCTATTTTTGAGGAAAAGGCAGGTGAAAGTGGAAAAATTCTGCTTGTAGGAGGTCTGAACGGAGACGCATATGACATGGTCTTGATGCACCTTGCCAACTTTATGTTCCGTATCACGTGCAACTCGAAGATAATCTTGCATTCAATTTCCAGTGCCAATCATACACGATGACAGTGATGGGTTTTTTTTCTTTTTAGAGTTATCAATATGTTGATATTTAAAATATCTCCCCTGAATTCCCTAAAAAAATCTGGCTTTTAATTTGCAATAACAACAGCACGTTAAAAAAATGTGTGTTACTCGAGTGCCACCTGCTGTACTGACTAAACATCATCCAACGGCAGGAGCGAATCCTTCCAGGCACTCCGGGCTGCAACTGCATCCTCCACCTTTTTTCAAGCTCTTTTTTATTTATTTCGTTTTAAAGATTACCACTGACGAAGTGACTAAAGACGATTTGTTGCCACCTACTACTGCGCTAAGACTCTCATATCTCGTTTAAGCTTAGATGGATTATTCAGTGCCAGAAAGGCGTGTCAGCTGGAGAAAAAAAAAATTGCTAATTGAGGTTTTAAATGTTGGAGGCTGCGCTGCCTGTCCGTGAAGCACCACTGTTAGAAAGGGACCTGCTACTCTTGTGCGGGCCGTCGGGATCGGCGAGCTCTGCGGCAGCCGCCCTGCCGTCTCCTCCTTTTCATCGGGCACTTTCCTTACGTTCTTCTAATTCTAGGGTTGAGAAAATCAAGATTTTTCACAGCCCTTGTTCAAAATTCCAGCACAGCCCTTTACCTGAGACCTTCTCCAGATGCAGGGAAATGCAGGTTGAGTCCTTCCTGATGATTATAGGCATTTTCTAAGCGGGGAATTTGTACGTAACCTTCTGTGACAGACAAACCAGATGCCTCAACACATTTTTCCAGTGCAGTCACGCTGTTTTATAAATAAATAGCAAGAACACTGTCATCTCGCCGCATGACCTAGAGGCTGGATGTGATAAACACCAGCCCTGTAACCAGATTCCAGGTGGTTTTTCCACAGGACGTGGCTACAGCACAGGAGGGAAAGGGAATAAAAACTGCCAGGAAAGTTAACATTTGCAATAAAAAGGCACATTGCATGTACTTAATCAGGTAATGCTGGTGAGTCGAAGCGCAGCAGATCTTGCCAGATCGTTCCCAGCCTGAAAAGCGAGAGTGGGTCAGGGGGGGTTTGGAGGAGGGTGAGGTGAGGTGAAACGGGGGCCCGCGTCCCGCTGCCGCAACAAACCCACCAGCCGACCGCGGAATGGTGGTTTAATCAGAGGTTTTTTTAATTATTTCAGTAACGGATTTACTTGGAACGCTCCAACATTTAATGCTGATACCGCTGCCCTGCCTGATTCACAGTGAAAACCCTCCTGATGGGGATCGCGGCCGGGCCAGCGCACTGGGAAACCCGCCTGAGCCTCGTGCGCGCTCTCAACCGTGAGAACGAGGCCTCACGAAGGTTTTTTTCCATTTTGCATCAGCGGCTGAGGGTCTCTCGGGGTATTTCCCGAAGGGAAGGGGCACCCGCAGGCATCCACCGCCAGGCTCTCCCCCTCGGAGGAGCCTGGGCCGTTCTGCCCAACCCACAGCCACAGCTGGAGGGAAGGAACCCGCCGTGGGTAAACGAGCTCAGCGAGGAGCGACGTTCCGCTCCCGGGGCCGCGGAGGGGAGCGCGGAGAAGCCGCGGCCCGCTCCGCCGCCCCCCCG